ATGAGACTATGTATCGATTATCGCGGGTTGAATCAGCAAACGGTGAAAAACAAATATCCATTACCTCGTATGGATGATTTGTTTGATCAACTTCAAGGAGCGACTTACTTCACCAAGCTAGATTTGAGAAGCGGCTACAATCAAATTCGAATTGCAGATGAAGATGTTCACAAGACAGCTTTTCGTACTAGGTATGGACACTTTGAGTATCTGGTGATGCCTTTTGGTCTCACTAATGCACCAGCTACATTCATGGGATTGATGAATGATATCTTTCGCCCTTATCTAGATAAATCTGTCATTGTTTTTCTAGATGATATATTGGTGTATAGCAAAACTTTGAGTGATCATAGAAGTCATTTACGAGAGGTACTTCAAGTTTTAAGAGACAATCAATTGTATGCCAAAGCTTCAAAATGTGAATTTGGCAAGTCAGAAGTAGATTACTTGGGTCATAGAGTTACAGCTACAGGAATCCAAGTGATGAGTGAGAAGATAGATGCCATTCAGAAATGGATAGCACCTGAGGATCAAACTCAATTGAAGAGTTTTCTAGGGCTCACTGGATTCTATCGTAGATTTGTGAAAGGTTTTGCTCGACTAGCTCAGGCCTTGACTTCCATGTTAGGGAAAGGTCAGAAATGGAGATGGGGAACAGCTCAAGAGTTAGCTTTTCAAGCATTGAAAGATGCTTTGTTACACGCACCTATTCTCAAGTGGTATGATCCTAATCGTTCTATCAAGTTGGCTACTGACGCATCAGGTACAACAGTAGGGGGCATACTTCAACAAGAATGGGAGGATGGATGGCATCCAGTTGCTTTCTATTCTCGAAAGTTGGTGGCGGCGGAACAAAATTATCACACAACAGAACGGGAGGAGTTAGCTATCGTGTTGGCAACCAAACATTGGAAGCATTATTTGGGTGATAAGGAGTTTGTGGTGGAGACTGATCATAAACCCTTGGTTTATTTGGAAACTCAGAAGGATCTGTCCAAACGACAAATTCGATGGGCAGAGTGGCGTCAACGCTTCAACATGAAGATTGTGTACGTGGAGGGAAAGAAGCAACTTGCAGATGCTCTCACACGCATGCCTTGTTTGAATCATGTTGCAGAAGTGAAAATTCAGGCGGATTGGTGGAGCAAGATGTCACAAGCCACAAAGGAGGATGAAGAGATCACTCGAGCACTACAAACTGGAAAGGCAGAGAAATCTCGAGGTTTGGCGTTTTACAATCAGCGTATATGGATTCCACAAGATCAGGATTTGCGCACAATGATTTTGGCAGAAAGTCATGATACAGCCATTGCAGGTCATGTGGGAGTGGAGAAAACCGTGGAGAGTATACAACGAGTGTACTATTGGCCCAAAATACGTGAGGATGTGGAGTCTTACGTTCGAAGTTGTGTTGCTTGTCAACAAAACAAGGCAAGTAATCAAAAACCAGCGGGTTTATTACAACCTCTTCTTATTCCCGAACAGCGGTGGGAACATGTCACCATGGATCTTGTATGTGAGTTACCAAGGACTTCGTTAGGACATGATTCAATGGTGGTTTTTGTGGACAAATTGAGCAAGATGATTCACATCAGGCCAACCACAAAAACAGTAACAGCTCCACAACTAGCTCAATTGTATCTAGATGCAGTTTTTGTGAATCATGGCTTAAGCAAAGTGTTAATCACGGATAGAGGTACTCACTTCACTAGTTTATTTTGGAAAACTTTGTTTAGTTTTTTCAAAACAAAACTAGCAATGTCAACGGCCTATCATCCTCAAACTGATGGACAAACTGAGAGGGCAAATAGAACCATAGAGGATATGCTACGAGCATTCACATTAGAAGAGCAAGAAGAGTGGGACAACCTTTTGCCACTTGTGGAATTTGCATATAACAATTCTGTTAATGCATACACAAAAGTGTCTCCATTTTTTCTTATGTATGGAGCTCATCCGATAACTCCTTCAAGTTTGATGAGACTTCCGAAAGGAGAGGAGTTTTCGACCAAAGTTGCAACAGTCAACGAATTCGTGGAGCATATTCACCGAGGACTACATCAGGCCAAGGAGAAGTTGGTGATAGCTCAAAATCGGCAAAAGCAGCATGCCGATGCTCATCGTAGAGAAGTGATTTTTGAGGTTGGAGATCATGTTTGGTTATCTACAACGAATTTGTCTCTTGTAGGAACACCAAAGTTAAACCCTAGGTTCATTGGTCCATTTTTGGTTTTGAAGCGTGTTGGTGAAGTGTCATACAAGTTGGAACTTCCGTCACATATGAAAATACATCCAGTATTTCATGTGTCACGATTGCGAAAACATGAACCACGACCAAAACAATTCACTACCCAACCAGCACCACCTCCTCTTCCAACCTTGATAGCAGATCATGAGGAGTTTGAGGTAGAAAAGATACTCAAGAAACGTATTCGAGTTCATAAATATCCCAAAGTAGAGTATTTGATTCAATGGAAAGGCTATCCATCGTATGAATCAACTTGGGAACCAGCTAAAAATTTAGCAAATGCACCTTTGATAGTTCAGGAGTTTGAACGTATGTGCAACGAGGACGTTGCATCTTAAAAGGAGGGAGGTTTGTAACCATCTTTAGTTAGTTAGAACTAAAGTAGAGGTTACTCTGAATATTGATGTAGATACTTTAGTGTGCACTAGTCATAGCTGCCACGTCAGCGATCCGCGCACTTGGTAGGTACAGAGTGGATGTGTTAGTTGACAGTGCCACGTCAGCAATCTGTGTGCTTGTAGCTAAGGATTGAGTGTGTTAGTTAGTGTGTTAGTTGGGTGCGCCACGTCAGCGATCCGTGTGCTTGTTAGGGTTATTCGCCACGTCATCCATCCACTAGGAGTGGTATGGATGGTGGGGATTAGATCTTATCACCTTGTACTTGTTGGTGAGAGCTATATAAGGGAGAGGAGAACCATTGTTGGTATCTCTCATCTTCAGAGCTTACGTTTCTATCTTCGAGTGAACTTCTCTCTAAACCCTAGTGTTACATGTTACCCTATGTGATGTATGAAGTATTGGTTTGGAGTCTCTAGTTGATTAGCTCTTATAACACTAGGGTTTAGAGAAAAACTAACTTGAAGATGAAACACAAACGATGAAGATGAAATAACTCAAATGGTTCTACTTTGATCTATCAAGTCTTACAATAGATTAAGATTGAACTACCCAAGCTAAAATAAACAAAAGTTGAAAAAATAATCAATACAAATAATGCTTACCGCATGAGTAATTCTTTGTTATCAACTACAAGTCATAAGATATCTAGACCAGAATGAAAATCATACATTAATATAAAAGCTTCAATGGAGAAGTAATAATTTCAATAATACATAATCTTACATTTTAGCTTTCTCTTAGAAGATTAAATTTTGTAATCAAGGAATATAAATCTTGCATATTGAGTTTAATGTGACTCATAATTATTTATCATCAATTGGAGTTTGAGATGTACAACCAAACATGACTAGAGCATCATAATAAACAATGATAGTAGTTATGATCAAAACGAAAAAAAGCTAATACAAATATCATATTTCCAAACTTTAACTTTAGATTTATCTTTATGTGATATATAATGGAATGAGTCTCATTCGCATGCATACAACATCATGAAATCAAGAAAAAGAAAACCATGATTACTTGTTCAATTTATATAACATCAACCCAAAGGATATGAAGCGAGAAGTGAAATGTCCATCTGACTTCATCATGGAGTAACAAAGTATCAAATGGAAAAACATGTACACCAAAAACCAGTCGAAGAAAACCTCAAAGTAGAATACGAATGCGATGCTGATTACTCATAGCGGATCAATAAATCTGAAATGATCAACAAAAGTAGAGATATACTATGCTGATCGATGTCAATGTGATAATACTCTTCACTTGGGCATCCCAAGTGTTCCACTCATAATATCTTCTTCAGAATTTCCTCTTTGTTTCTTGTGGGATAAAAACAAAATGACACATAAGATATAATGTATAAAACATGAAATCAGATGTAGCACAAGGATGCATGGTTGTATTAGGCGACAAAATTAAGGTGGGTGTGATTTGGCGCCTACACCTTGGAACCAATGGGGAATGGACACCTATGCAGAAATGACGGATTTTTTAGTTTATATTTTCAAAATTAATGTAATTTTTTAATAAAATTTTAGTAGACTAAATTAGTCTAAATTAAAATTTTAGAGTTTGAATTGGTCTAAATTATTTTTTTAGTAGACTAAATTAGCTTAATATCATTTTTAAAAGAAAATTAAGACTAAATTAATTTTTTGAGCAGACTAAATTAACCATATTTAGTTAATCCAGGCCATGCGTTAGCATAAGTGAATGATGAAGATGGTGTGGAACTCTACATGTGTCTCTTTCCATTGCAAAATCGCGTTTCTCTATGTCACATTTCATACATAACCATCAAACTTCACAATCTAAAAAATATTCAGAGCTTTTTTCCCCAATATCATTATTCTTCTCTCTACGATCACACAAGACTAGAGCGGTACAAATCATAATAATTGAAGTAATGAACACCTAATCCATCGTCTTCAAAGCGAAATTATTAAGATTTTCTTCGAGAGCTATCAACGGTGTTGATTGATATACCAAGGTAGCCTAAACTGGAAATTGATGGATTTTCTATTTTTCTACAAATAGAAAATAACCAGTAATGATACCGAAATTACAGTTTTGCCCTGGATCTCTCCTCATAATGTTCCTAAAAACTATAGAGAACTGTACGTTTGGAAGGACAGGTCCTCGAAGTCTCGGAGTCCCGGGGTCGGGCTGCATCGTGTTAGCCCTAATCGGACGACACGTGCTCAGACACGTGCGCAAGTCGGGGGTTCCATCCGCCAGGACGGAGAGGAGCGCGCAGAGTTCCGTCCGGTGGGCCCGCTCCGTCGCAGGTGAGCAGGAGGGAGGGCCTTTGGGAAAAGCAGGCGGGCGAGCGGATCACAGAGGCGAGGGAGTGATCAGTGCACAGAGGGCGCCAGAGAAGAGCAGAGGGGCCAGCCAGCTAGCCCGGCAGAGGAGCGCGCGACCCATAGCGGGGGAGGGAGGCCAGCGAAGGCCCGACTGCCTTTCGTACAAAGATTGTCGCGCAGGCTCTCGATCATAGGATCAAGGAAAGCGTTCGCAGAGGTCTCTTTGATCTCTCTCTCCGATAGACCAAGAGCAAGAAAGAGCTGTCCGGTGTCTCTCGATCTGTTTCTATCTCTCCTCCTCCCTCCCTCTCCCTCTCTCTCGCTCTCTCTCCGGGCCGGAGACCTTCGGATGGATCGGGAAGATGATCAGATGAGGGTCCTCTGTCCGGACGAACATTTCTAAGCGTTGCCGAGTCAGATCTTTGAGTCGGTGTTTCCCGATCAGGAGCCAGGAGACGCCAATTGAGGGCGCTTTTTAATTTTGTGGAGTTTTTAGTTTTTAGTTTTTTAGATTCTTCGTCTTCTTCTTCCTTTTGGGCTGATTTGGAACTGGATACAAGATGGTGCAAATGGAGCTTTTCCGCTCGCAGGAGATGAACCTGGTTCAACTCATTATTCCGTCGGAGTCTGCCCACGACACTGTAACATATTTGGCACAGCTTGGGCTTTTGCAATTCAAGGATGTATGTGACTTCTCAATCTCTTTTCGATTCAGTACATCCGTTTACTTCAAATTTAAGATCTGAGAGCCTTGCTTGTCAGTTGGACCCTGAATCTTCCATCGATCACTTGACCTACTTCCCCGCAGTACGGGATTAGTGAGGAGTTGAACGCCGTATTCTGTTCCCCTTAAGTAGCTGCCTTTCTGGATGTGATGATGTTCATGCATTTAATACTCACTTTTAGTTCGAGCATTTTCACCTGTGTTCTTGGATTGGCAACCATTATGCTGATTGTCACTGGAGTTGTTCTGTCTTCACCTTAATTACAACTAAAACTCATCGGGACTTCACAGTATAGAGATAATTGTTACCGTAACGTTTTTTGATAGATGTCGTTGTTGGTTGTTGGTTGCAGCTTAACCCGGATAAGAGTCCGTTTCAGCGGACGTATGCCAATCAGGTGAGCTGTTACTGGGTCTTTTGTTTCACATTTCAATGTGTGAGATTAGGTTGGAAACTTTTAATTTATGCACGCCTCGCTCAAGTTATCAAAGCTGCGGTTGCAATTACTGATTTCGAGGCAAACCTAAAATCTACTTGTCTGCGCAACAGGTTAAGCGATGTGGCGAAATGGCTAGGAAATTGCGTTATTTCAAAGATCAAACAGCCAAAGCTGGTCTTACGCCAGCTGCCAGACCAGCTATGGACGGTGATGTCGACCTTGATGAACTTGAGGTATCATTTGTGAAAATAATCGTGGGATTTTTCCGATCTCGAGCATAAATGTTAATCCGTAATTCAATTTTGAATGAGACATTAGATGTTGGACGCCACAGTAATCTTGCTCTTGTGATAATTCAGCTCTGATATGTTATCTTGCGTTGTCATGGCAGGTGAAACTTTCTGAGCTAGAAAGCGAGCTCATTGAAATACTTGCCAACACCGAAAAGTTGAAGCGCACGCACAGTGAACTTACAGAACTTCACCTTGTTCTTAAGAAGGTACCCACTCATGTGATCACGTCAACTGTGAATCAAAGCCGAAACACTTTTTGGAAATATTAGCTCTATACATGCCGATCTTGCATCTTGAGACCGAGTTTGCCCGCGATCTTCATTGATTTTCGATCAGGTCCCGATCTCAGAGTCATTCATATTCTTCCTAGGGCTAGCAGGGACAGAATGTTTTAGTATGGAATGATTTCAACAGACAAGCACTCGTATCACAAGATTGCTGAAAATACTGTTGAGGATAAGTACAAGGATCTTATTGTCCCATAATGTCATTTGTTTCCACCTACTAATAGTTTGTTATGAACTTGTTTGACCTTTATCACGTTTCCTGCTCTATTCAGGCTGGCGCGTTTTTCAGCTCAGCCCGCGATAATGCAACAGAGGCTCAAAGGCGTGAACTGGAAGGTCTTTCAGGCTCAAATGAAGACATTGATAGACCTCTGTTGCTCGAACAGGTGCAAGAGCAACATTGACCTTAAATTTTAGAGTACATTGATTGATGTCGAAATACACCTCTTGAAGGTGACGGAATATTAATCGATATTCGTAGTCTCCTTCTAGGTATTGCCTAGCTGAGTGAGGTGTGCTTTGTACTTAGTTGTTCTTTCACAAATTCTTGCAATTCCAGGAGATGCAGACTGAGCCTTCGAAACAAGTAAGGCTGGGCTATGTGTCAGGAGTCGTCCCCAAGTCAAAGGCTCTGCCATTTGAACGTATCCTGTTTCGTGCTACTCGAGGAAACATGTTCCTTAAGCAGGCTCCTATTGAGGAGCCTGTCATCGATCCAGCATCTGGCGAGAAGGTTTGTCAATCCTCGTTGATTTGTTCTGTAGACCTTTACCCTTTTGCTTGCGTCTGTGGATTATGCAAATCTTTCATCGGTCTGAGCATCGTCGTATTTCAGTTTTCCGTGGTAGACAAGTACTGCGATCAGCTGAAATCATACACTTCTTTGTGGTCTGGTATCGTCAAAAGCCTCATAAGTAGAGTGATATTCCATGTATTTTATCAATAATGAAAGTTGGTAGTCTATGGTGCTGGAAATTATCTCTGACGATTTTTTTTCTTCCAAACAGGTCGAGAAGATCGTCTTCGTCGTTTTCTTCGCCGGAGAAAGGGCACGCTTGAAAGTTACCAAAATTTGCGAGGCCTTTGGAGCGAACCGATATCCTTTCCCAGAAGAAGGGAGCAGACAGAGTGCCCTTCAGCTTCAGGTTAGGTCTTGTCGATATTTTGTTCACGGAGGAGTTTTGTTATTCCGTTCTAGTTTAACAGAATAAACTCGCTCCGTTTGCTGGTCTGAACAATTGAGGCCTGTTTTATAAATTAGAAGTCAAGTACTTGGTTTGATGTCAACACACAAAGCGCAATCTTATGTTCGTGGGTTTCCGCAAGAAGATTAGAGCAGACTCCACAAATTTCTTCATGATCACATCTGGACAATGAAGAATAAAACAGACGACCAGTCGCACGAAGCTCATTTTCGCTGATGTCTTCCTTTCGGTCGCAGGTTGCGTCGAGGTTAGATGAGCTACAACAAACTCTTGATGCGGGAACGCACCACCGGGATAATGTGCTGACTACGATCGGATACAACCTGGAACAATGGACCCTGTTGGTAGGTGTTGTGCAGTCTGTTGTGCAGTCTCATGGCGCATACCATCTGTTATAATGCTTCATTAATCTTTCCGATCATTTCCAATTGTAGGTGCGCCGAGAAAAGGCAGTGTATCATACTTTGAACATGTTAAGTATCGACGTGACAAGGAAGTGTCTTGTGGCTGAGGGATGGTGCCCTGTGTCTGCTAAGGATCAGGTTTGTAATTTGTACTTCACCACCTATGAGGGCAACTTGTTTATTTACAGTATCAACTAGCAAGCATCCGGGAAAATGTTAACTCTTTTTTAGGTCTACTTGAATACTGTCTGAAGGATATGCATGGGTCTGTAAGTCCTTGATTTGCAACTCGATTTGTCGCCAACAGTAATCTGTATAAAACGAAAAGTTCTCTCTAACTTAACGTCAATTTGCTTATGTTTGATGTTCAGATTCAAGATGCTTTGCAGAGGGCAGCGTTTGACGCTAATTCTCAAGTACCAACAATCTTCCAGTTTCTTCATACCAAGGAAGCACCCCCAACGTACTTCAAGACAAACAAGTTCACTGGCGCTTTCCAGGAGATCGTCGATGCCTACGGGTTAGCCTTCTCACCTGTCTCTTTCGTTCAGTTTCCAACCGGATGACAAATTAAGGCTGTTGTGTCTGTTGAGCTCGTGTTTGTCTTCTTTACGCTCAAAGCTTGCCTTACGTGTCACGAGTAGTCACGTTGTTATAATTTTACGATGGTTTTCGGTTCCGGAGCATAGATCGTCTCATCTTATTTGAGTTTCTATGCTAACCTACTGTGTTATATTGCTCGATTTGGGCAGGGTGGCACGATACCAGGAGGCCAATCCTGGTGTCTTCACTATCGTCACTTTTCCCTTTCTGTTTGCCGTCATGTTTGGCGACTGGGGTCATGGTATCATATTGCTGTTGGCTTCTTTCTTCCTCTTGTGGAACGAAAAGAAATTCATGAGTCAGGTGAGTTCAAAAAAAATCTCGTTAATTCATGAAATGAAGAGATCATTGTTGACTTTTCTGCACCTCTGGGAGACACAGATACGAACAAGTATTTCCTGATGATGACTGAGCGACAACCCACTTCAAGTGCACTATACGGAGCAGTAACTGGAAATGTACGAGGGTTTTACTTACAGATTTGAAGGAAGAGAATGCTCGCTGTTTAAACTCTGGGACCGAAAGCCCAGATGTGTTTGTCAGTATCAAGTTCTTTACAAAGCTTTCAGACTATTTTGACTTGTTTTTCCAACATCTGTCGGATGTATATCTGTCGTTTTTCAATTACCCTGATGAAAGGACTTTGTCAATGCAGAAATTAGGGGACATTATGGATATGGCTTTCGGAGGAAGATACGTGATTCTGCTGATGTCAATTTTTTCAATCTATACGGGGTTCATCTATAATGAGTTCTTTTCAGTTCCCTTCAGAATCTTTGGCGAATCAGCTTATACCTGCAGAGATCACCCTGATACGCATTGGGACCAGTGCGAGTAAGTGACCTCGTCATTAGTTTACTATCGCAGCATCTTTGAATGCTTGTGCCCAGCTTTCGTTCTTGAATCGTGGTGACAAGATTTGTGTATGATTTACGAATCATTTCGTAACGTTTTGCAAATGAATTTAAGCTTGTGCGCCTTTAAGTCTACATGGAATGGTATACCTCTCAGCTTACAGCCGAAATGTTGTTACAGATCTGCAACCAGTGTTGGCCTGATCAAACTTGGGGATCAGCCCTATCCTTTTGGACTTGACCCAGCATGGCACGGATCTCGTTCAGAACTTCCATTCACCAACTCACTGAAGATGAAGATGTCCATTCTACTCGGAGTCACTCAAATGAACGTCGGTATCATGCTCAGTTATTTCAATGCAAAATTCTACAGCAACTCGCTCAACATCTGGTAAATCTCGCGAGTCAGAAAAGTTCAATAGTCTTAGTTATTGAAACTGTTTTTCTTAGTTCAATTGCTTGCATATACCCTAGGCTCACCAGTTTCTCGTAAAGAAGTTGATTTGGGATTCTTAGTAGAAATGACGGAGCACGGTGAGTTCCTTATAAGTTCAGATGTCACTCTAACTGATGAGCGACTGTCATGCAGGTATGAGTTTGTGCCTCAGATTTTGTTCCTCGGTTCTTTGTTTGGTTACCTTTCCATTCTCATTATCGTCAAGTGGTGCACCGGGTCCCAGGCAGATTTGTACCATGTAATGATCTACATGTTCCTGAGTCCCCTCGATGATCTTGGAGACAACCAGCTGTTTTGGGGTCAAGGATATCTTCAGGTTAGATTTAACCACCTTTTTATCTGAGACATACTTCTGTACTATCTTAGTTAAAGTCGTTATATTGAATAGTTTCGGACCTGGACTGCTTTGTTGCCCCTTTGTCCGGAGTATGTTCTGGTGGACGAAGTTGTTTGGTACCTTCCTTAGGTGCATTTGGGGAGCACTTTGAGTAGTATCTCCGACATCGTTTTTTTATACTAAATTCTTGGGATTGCGATAACTTTGTGCAGGTGGCTTTGCTGATTATCGCATTCGTTGCTGTACCATGGATGCTTTTGCCCAAGCCTCTGATCCTTAAGAAACAACACGAACAGGTGTGTGTTTTGTTCCTCAGAGAGTCTGATTAGTCCAGGATGGACGTTATCATCCCCTTGTCCTACCTCTCGGTATCTCCGAATAGGTTGGCAAAGTGATATTATTCCCAAAAGTTCGTTCAAAGTTGAAAAGACTCTGTTTATCTTAAAATTCGTATTCGGTTTGGTGTGCAGAAATTGGCTGGTCGATCTTATGGAGTTTTGGGAGAATCAGACGCTGAGTCTGTGGATGGCGATGATGAGCACGAAGAGTTTGAATTTGGCGAGGTGTTTGTTCATCAAATGATCCATACTATAGAGTTTGTGCTTGGAGCAGTCTCTAACACAGCTTCGTACCTGCGGTTGTGGGCTCTCAGGTAAGAAGTTTCCAAGAAATAGTGTTCTGTCTGCTCAGAAACAAGCTGATCTAGTGATATCGGCTTGCTTGTCAGATCTTGAGCTTGTATAGGAAGTTTTGGATGTTTACTGACGATTTTGTTTATTGGTCTGCAGTCTGGCCCACGCAGAGCTTTCAGCTGTCTTCTACGAGAGAGTGTTAATGCTGTCTTTCGGGTAAGTCTCATTCAATTTTAACATCGATATGCAGCGGTCATTGGTATTTTGATGTCGATGGTAATACTCCTAGAAAGGATGCATCCTCCAGTAGTTTTTTTCGATGAAGGTTTTACATACGTCCATTTTTCTAACGCTGATCATGTATCAGGTATGACAATATCCTCATTCGCTTTATCGGCATTGTTGTATTTGCTATCGCCACTCTTGGAGTATTGCTGGTTATGGAGACTCTTAGTGCATTTTTGCACGCACTTCGACTTCACTGGGTCGAGTTTCAGAACAAGTTTTACATGGGGGATGGATACAAGTTTCATCCATTCGCTTTTGCCACCCTCTCGGAAGAAGATGATTAGGTGTTCGTGAGTTGGTTGAACACAACTACCGATGGAGTTGTATATTTGATTCAATTGTGTTTATGTTAATCAAATAAATCTTAGATGAATTTGAGGCTAAGATATGGAGCACAACTTGGGCCCCACCTGCTAAATGGTGAATGTGTAATAAAAAATTATCAGCAGTTGTTTGTCTCCAGTCAATGCTACCTTTCCGGTTGCGTGTGTTCTCCTAATAGTGACCAGAAACCGAGGCTCTAGTTGTTGAAATCTAGTTTGAGCTGGACCATCTTACTTCCATAACCTATTGCACACCTGACAGTAGACTTTCGGAATTATATTCTAATTTTTTAATTGAGTCGCTGGTGACAGTACATTGCTGAGGTATCAAAAGTGAGCAAGTTTGTGGGAAGTGGAATGTCAGTTACTTCTGTTGCATGACACAACGTCAATGCCTTGGCTAGACGTCTGAACTCAACGCATTCTTCCATTAGACAGCGTTATTTCGTGTGGTTATTCTTCAGTCATCTTCACAAGTGTTTTGCGGTCGAAGTGTTGGGTAATTCTACTCTTATCTATTATACCCGAAATCAATGGTAAAGAGTAAGTAGGATCAAACACACGAGCGTAACAGAACGCCGTTCAGTCAGTCTATTCTCTTGAGTTGTGTACAAGGGGGATGGAAGTGTTTGATGGTGAGAAATATGTTGCGAATTTTGTGTGCGAACGATTTCAATTGAAGCCTAGGTTCCCAAACAGCACATGCTTAGGGAAGTACTCAAGTTTAGTCTTCCGTCGGACGGAGGGTCTAACTGTTCTGAAGCTTGTAGAACGTTATTGGGCCAACAAAGCATACACGAGAGTTGCGGGCCTTGATCCTAAGCGGATCGGGCCTCCCGCTCCTCCATCTACCTGAACATTTTCAAAACATCTGTCAATTCTCATACTGACAGCTGTGATAGATTTTCGATAATACAGGAATAGATATTTTTCTGTATGTATAACACTCTGCTTGGAAATATTGGTTGCTATTGGTACAATCTCCGCCAGGCAAGCAATCTGGTTATTATCCCATAGAAACTATGTGAGGTAAAGTTTCTTTGAATAGGATATTGCAAGTTTTTTTCAGTATGCTTTTTTCTACCTTGAATTTCTTTTCTTGTTTCAAGATTTCATCGGCTAGGAATAAAAAAATATTAAAAGGAAGATGCATTCGATGGAAAAATATCACAAATAAATCACTCCCGCTCTTGGTTACAAGCGTAACTCTAAAAAAAATATCTACGATTTTTATCTGGTTCAATTACTAATTCAGTCTTATCAGAGTTTGTGCATCAGTTTCCGTGGTGTAGTTGGTTATCACATCAGTCTAACACACTGAAGGTCTCCAGTTCGAATCTGGACGGAAACATTTTGTCTTGCCTACCACCAAGTTCATTAGCGCTATCCACACATGTTTTCTCCGTTCGGAGGCAACATGAGGAGGAGTGAAATGTAATCCACTTCATGGCCGCAAAGATATCCGGATTAAAAAGAAAATATTAACAGTTTGTTAGGATTGATCTTCCTCCTGACGAAGGAAGACACGCGAATTCGAAAAAATGGTTCTGACTCTATCGTGCAGACCTGCGTATGTTTAAATCTTAACTCGGCTTACATCTGGTCATTCCGCTACTGGTTTCTTACTTCATATCCATGTGTTGAAGATTTAAAGAACTAATGAGTACACTTAGGAAGTCCTATTCTTTCTTGAATAGCTCCATTATCCATAGCTCTTTTTTTTGTTAAGAATTGCGACATTGTAGAAGAATGCAAAGAGCAAGCTTGTGGTGGGGATTTTTGAATTTCCGTACGTTCAATTTTGTTTCTCAACACAGATTGGACTAAGTTCCGAGTGCAGTGAATATACAAGAACTACTCTTCATCAGTTATTCACGTATGAACTTAAAGTTCTCATGCCGGTGAGGTATTTCCATCCTACAATAATCGTTTGACAAACATGTGATAGGTTTCCATCAGTTAGATCATCTTTGCGGATCTCCAAGTGAAAACATACACTAAAAAGATCTTGTGCTGCATGTAAATTGGACTTGTTGAAATCAACAAAGCAGAAGCGTGCTCACATGATGGAGGAAAGCAGCTGTCGGGGTTATATAGCTCAGAAGAGCATCAAGACTGATTTCGATACATTCTGAGACTCATCAAAGAAAACTATCAGATTCACAATTCGGCTTTCCATTAGATCACATTTAGTCGAGGAAACCAAACTGAAGCCTACAACTTGACCCAGACGAAATAATGCAATCTCACGTACCATTTCCATAGAAGTCACGACAGGGGATACTTGAATGCCTCACCACATGGAATATATACATTGAAACATCAGAAGCGTCGTTGCGATACAGCTAGATAGTTACGTAAGACTACAAACTAGCCTTCAACATGACTGACGTCCATCTCAACATTCTAGAGAAACCTAGAAATCCTCAGCTTTCCAAAACCTTGGGAAAAATCGGAACTACAATGAGAAGTGTCCACATGTCCAACATCTGAAACTCAAATAACTGCATCGAAGTCTGAGGTGTCTCCAAGATCAGGAACTTGAGTCACAAAGCACCTTCGTCAAACGTATCACAGATCGTTTAGACAGGGGATACTGCTTCGAGCTCCTGGGACAAGGCTGAGCCATACCACGTACATTCTGTACAGGTACCAGGTATCGACCATCTAGTGAATGAACAATAGATATGGAAAATTGGCTGTCTAGCTCCGCTATTCGTCTGGACCGAGGTGAAGGTAATTCCGTCTTTGTAACTAGCGAACGCGTGCAATGAGCGCTGAGACGTGTTGATGGAGAGCCAAAGGTCGACAGGGAGCTGCAAAATCGGTGCCAAGCCTTCGGAATGGTGCGTGTTTCCATTTAAATATTGTGACTGACTCGAATGTCTTCTGACAGTCGATGTCTTAATCCACTAGCGGCAATTTCTCACACTCGAGAAGCCAAATCACTGAGAACTCTACCGTACATGGACTTCAACGAGTGGGTCGATACCTGCCTGAAACCCGCGGTCCAGCTTCACCACCATTGTAACTGCTGTATGAAGAAGGATTTCGAAGAACCCCCCATCGTCCACGGCCTGGATTTCGAGGTGCTCGAGGTGTTGCACCTTGTCCATCGCTGAAGGCAGTGGGAAGATCCGCTGTAACCGGTCGAAAACTGTGAGAACGTGCATACGTAGCTCTCGCGGCATCCTGAGCATTGTTATTCGGCACTGACCTCATCAAAGCTCGCCATTCTGCGTGCAATACTTCGTGCATTATCTCGAGAGAGCTAGAAGGCGCAGTTGGGTTCGCATTTCGTCTCCAACGCGGTTGTGACTGCCCTTCCATCACTGAAGCAGTCGCCGATTCGTGATTTGTCGTCGCCGAATTTGCATACCGCGGGTTAGTGTTCCTCCTGCTCGGTTCTCCGGAAGAGGACACGGTTCGTCCTGACGATACATGTCTGCTGGTATTTACAAATCCAGTTCTCACTCTTCTGACTCCACTACTACTGGTGTAAGTAGCGTGAGACGAGGAAGATGAGGAAGATGAGGAAGCAATGACAGAAGCTGATAAGGGAGGACTAGTGATTTCCCGTTGAGACAGACCAGGTCCTCGTGGTCGTGCGCAGTAATAGTCTGGTTGAGAACTGCTTCGAGACTGAGAATCAGGGTTGACGCATCGATCAAGCCTTGGAACGTCCAGATTCCATCGTTGGTGTGTTGATGACGAGGTCTGTTGTGTGGAAGATAGAATCTCGCCATCAGGTATAACGTTCATAGAATGTGATACTATGCGGGATGGTGTTTCAGTTCCATGCGAGGTAGCTGGGGGACTAGTATCATCTCCGGATCGCTGCTGGGACCTGCAACCCCACCCCAGTCAAAGGGAGAAAGAAGTTAGGGAGAAAGAAGTTAGTCAGTAGAGAACAGGTATAAAGTACCTGACCGTGAACGTTGAAGTCAAGATATAATATTTGCATTTTCAGCAGAAAGCTAGGCGTTCATTTACTACGAAAGCCTGGAAAGAAGAATCTGAGAAGAAACCTCCCACAAAGCAATCGGAGAAGAAACTACAGATCATGGAAGTTATCTATCTAAGAAGGAAGCCACTAGATTTTACAATGAAAATATGATAAGTATTTTGCAAATAGCACGTTCAGGTCCTTCTGGTTGGGGAGAATGATGGAGGGAGGAAAAGACTATAAAAGACCCAAAAAAAATTTTGGGGCACCCCAGAATAGCTAGATTGCTTTAAGCGAGAAGTGAACAGCTAGATTGTTACTGAAAATTAAATGCCAAGTGAAGCAGAACAGCAGCTCTCTACGATGCATCAAAAGGCACGACCTACAAAACAACAATCAGCAGGCTGTTATTTCATACCTTAGAGCATCAACAATGAATTGAGTTGAAAACCACTTACCACGAGCAAGTGATATATTAAGTAATGTAGACGTAGTTGATAAGTATATACTAACCAGTATGTATTTATAGGTTACCGCACACGAGACCAAAAGCAAAATCTTTAAGTGGTATATTTTCAACATTTACTTTGTGACTGTCAAATAAAAAGACCAGAAACTATGATGCAAGGATTGCGAGAAACAGCATTGCAAAGATGCAGGAAAAAACTTGTTAGCGGCAGTAGATACTTTGAGAAAAGCACAAGACACGAGGGCCTTACCCACAGGAACAGTAAGTGCATGGTATAAAACCCAAGATAAAGTTTATGAATATGTACGTCTTGCACGACTTCAAATAATTCCACCTCTTTCTATCATAGTGAGGAGTAGAGATGAATATACTCTTTGTTTGTTTAGCACCATTCGAATCTGCGGAAGAGGAATCACTTAATGGAGAGTGATTTGGTAGGAGAAGTCTCTTGAGAGAGATAGAACCTTTCTCCATGGAGAGAAAAGAGGCCAGACTAAATAAATAGCAATCAGCGATTTAAAAATGAACTCCTTAAGCACTGCTTGGGCAGGCTACATGAAGTCTAGACTTCAACTTCGGGTTGCACAGGTTAAAGTCCTTTTCCAATCAGAACATAACATGTAGGCCTGACGAGAGTTAGATTGTGACTTCGGACCTCCTAGAAGACCTGAATTTTAGAAGAAAGAGTCGACTCCTGGGCATTTGTATGCATATGGTATAAAATGTATAGGCAGGTGTGTCAACAAAACAGTTTTCTTTACTGAACCTCGCATATTGACGATAGCGCAAATATAGAACAGTTACTGAACATGGTGCATGTGCGTCATAGTGTGTAAAAACAGTTTAAATACCTTCATTAAGAAAGCTTTAAAAAGTTTTATTCTATGTGATATCACAAAGTGTAACTGGAATGAACAAGCAGAGATAGTTGCCTACACAACAGGCGCAGTAGATTATTCCAGGCTAGCATGGTTCCCTTCTGACCAATCCCAACCTATAGACTTAGATAGCAGCAACAGATCATCTGATAAAATTCAAAAAAGCAGCATCAGCGTTATAAGGTCGCAATACTTACGGTGAGGCGCGGCCATTCGCGAGATGAGCCATCAGCCATGTGGCGTAGCCGTCAGTACCACTGGAAGAAGCTCTAGTCACGTCTGGATTTCTGCCCAAACGAAGCCGAAAATTTTCATACGCTTCCCAGAGGTGGTAGGGCATGAAGCCCACTGGTCGTTCATTCAACAAAGACGATAACGCTGCCGCCGACGAATGTTGCTGAGGTGGGGCATAGCTTGAAGCATTTCCTCTGCCAGAATGAACATCTCTTTCCGTCATAGTTGTGGCAGGGATAGAATTATGATGCATAACTCTATACCCAGATAGAGAAGACATTCCACCTTGAACTTGAGACGCGTGACTTCGACGACCCCAGCCATATGAATCTCTTTCACTAGAACTCCATCGTTCTGTTACAGTCGCTCTATCCGCCGCTGAAGTTTCACGTGTATTTGGCCCATGACCAGCAGGCCGAGTTGGAAAATCATCGGGAATCTGCCTCGGATTACCCAAAGCAGTATTGACGGCATTCACAAGGCCATGAGCTGCGGGACGAGTTTCAGAATTCTCCCTTGGATGACGCAGAGCAGCGTTGATAGCGCTCACAAGGTGAGGGCAGAGTGGTGTCGTGCTAAAGGATGCACTAGAAACTGCACTGGAAACTTCACTCTCCTGACGATACAGTGTGCTCATTACCACTCGGGAAGCTGCGAAGAAATCATAGCATCAATAAGAGAACAGTCAGAAAATATACTTCACTTTTTCACTCGGATACAAACCAATGGCTTGATCTACACTGAATGAGACATATCACGAAGTGACAATTCATGCAAAACCAACCTGAAAGTGAACTGAGGCACCGAGTGCAAAGCATGTATTCTACATAGTTCACGTATCACGTAGCACCATGTATCACCCGAACAATCAGGCTGACAAACGCTTACGTGGTCCCAGAGGGCTACATACTAACTCTATACTCGAGAATCTCATCACTGGACAGGGTCAACAATAGCCAAAAACTGCACCATCATGGTCAGTCCGCACTAACGAAATTTGATTGTTCCTACAGCAGAAATAGAAGTGGCCATGGGGAACGGAACCCACTACCTCCATCACATTACGGGACAAGTGATGACCTCTTTCACAAACGAGACTATGTAAGCATTGATGCAGTTATCACATCCATGGAGGGAATTATCAACTGTTAACAGCATCCACTGCAAAGAACTGGCTGCAAGAACTAAGGAAATTCACACATAATGTTTGCTAATAAGATTATACCATTGGTTGATATGCATGATAATGTCAGTAATAGGTGATGGAAGCGATCAAGGAGTGCATGCACTCAGAACCAAAGCAGGTGAGTAAACTTGCGGCTATCACAACTATCACAACTATGAAATCTACGCGATCTAGTAAATGTAAAAATATGCAGCAAGCAAGCTCAAGGTAGTTTGAAGACAATCTAATGATATTTTGTCATGTCTTTAGAATCCAGTGTTCAGATATGTGAAGATGACATCGATTATAAGCAAGTCCAAGATAATGTATCTGTTGCAGCAAAAGCGCAGGAAAAAAACTTGTAATTGATACAGCTATTAGGGGCCATTTTGATAGAAAACCAAGAGAAAAGCAACAAGAAACAAGAGAAGCCTCAGGCAAAGAAGCTTCTTGGGGTCCTCAATAATCTAGGCTGTGCCGCTCGAAGGAGTTCAGGACCTGAGCAGTTGTGAGAATTGATCCCAGAATGTCACCTACAACAACACAGCATGATGTCCACCTTAGGCACCACGACATGGCCACATTACGGCATTTCAGCGCCTGACGCCCGGGCAGAGAATGTTCAGAGAAGCATGTCCCTCGTCCTGGGTTTCTGTCATGCTGAATAATATGGCGCGTTAGGCCTGTGACAACTACCAAGAATCAAAGTATAATTCTAGTACCGAGCCTAAACATGCCCATGAACTTCTTTCTCGTCTTCTCAGATTCATAGCTAGCTAATCTTCTCGTTGACTTTCAGTGTTCTTGCCTGGACAAAAATCTCTTATGAAAGCTAGGTGCTGGACAAACTAGGTTCTTTGAGAGTTCTATGTGAAAATGTAACACAGAAGTAATTCAGATATTGTACGTAAATATAGACAGACTAATCGGTAATATGACCTTGACTTTTGTGTGAAAAAAGGATCTCATAAGCAAATTTGCGCCAAGATTTAAAATTCTCAGCCATGAAAAAAGATCAATTTCACAACCTGACTGAGAGCCACATAATGATACCTGGGTAACAACGTAACCGACACCCTGCGGCACAAAGACCAGTTGGACAAGGCTAAGAGCATGTTTTGACCGTTGACCTCTAGGATTATCTACAGGATGGTATATCCTTGTGGCTGTACGAAACTGGAGAACCGACAGCACCATAAACAATCAAGTACGTTTCGTCTCATAGAAGAACCGAGGCACGATAAAAAGAGCAAAGAACAGCAAAAGCCCCAAAGCTTTAGAACGCAGTAGGACTACTTCCAAAGGCGTCATAATCAGTGGATTGACGGTGGTCCGTTCGACAGCATTTTAGAAAAAAGGGGAGGAATATCGAATTTACAGAAATAAACAACAGATGGAGAATCACAAGTAATTCTATACCGTTATGCCCATCTAAACAGGTAAATGATTGTGCACATAATAAATTGTATTACACAGCTTAGCGGGAAATATATATTGAAGATGCCATGGAAACAAAACTATGATGACCTCGTCTTTTCCAAGCTGGGCAACCCCGCTCGAACACTGATAGCATGTTGAAGACATCATTCGCAAAAATAATACAAGCAAAATTACATGCTGATCTTCATGGTGTTTTCCCCTATGAAGGAATTTGTACAAAGATCTTCGACCAGCTAAATCCCTTCCTTTCAGAGAAGGCTCTTCAGGAAATAGCACTCACCATAGCGGAGCCGATTCTATTTTGTTTAAGATACAACTATACAAAATGACGTTGCTGGAACCCCTTAAGAGAAACCAGTATTCTGTTTTTGTGTTTCAATCACTAACGTCAAATACTAAACGACAAAATCGCCCCATGGACACACAAGCGTCTAGAGGCGACTTTGTAAGTCAGAAACAAGAATGCGCAGATTTTGCAATCTGGTATCACGCTGCTTTCTTGATACATGACTATCGTCAGAAACTTTAAAACTTTCTATTCTTTCTACTGGTTTTTCTATTGGTTTTCAGATGCACCCTGCAAGCGTAGATACTGACCTACGCTTGCAGGGTGCATCTGAAGAATAGACAAATAATTAACAGCATCACCAACGGGACTTTTAGGCAGGACTGAAAGATAAGAGACTCAAACGGAGCTTGGCATATGAAACGAGAGATATAAGCCATGCCGTACTTACATTGACTTGTGGTTTCATTGTCCCCCCTGCACATTGCCAAAGCTTGTCATTAGGCCTCGACTGAAGATACACGCAAAATCAACAGAAAACTAGAGTACTGATTGATGGCATATTTAGGCGTCCTGGGAACACATGACTTCTTATGGAGCTGACAAGGAATTTGAAGAAAGACGCTCAAGACCTTTGCAAACTCATGTGGCGATAAGGCAACTAAAGGACTCCCTTTGGTTCTTAGGGTTTCAAATTAACGTATACTTCTTTGGCTCGGTGGCCTCCAGAGAACTTGTTGTCTAAGTGCTAACGGTTACATTGCTCGTAACTGTCACAAACCGTTACAGCACTCTACTTACATGCGCACACTAAAGGCTTTTGAATTGCAAGTGGTCTGCCTTTCTACTCATATACCATCGTAGATGAGATTGAGCTGTACATCATTATTCATGTAGAGGCCGCAAGAGCCCAACAAGATATTTTTTTTTGAGGCCAACAAAATAAAACTGGCCATTTTGGACTTACCAATCGATATTTTTGATTGCTTTGAAATCCGGTTTGACTCATTTGCGCTTTTATTCTGCTCTAATTCGTTACTTAGGGAATAAGAGAGCAATAGACAATATTCACATATCTTGCTCAGTTTCATCTCGCTTGAGTTCTGTTATGATTTGAGTTTACTTTCAATTCACTTGAATGAGTTTCAAGTGTTCGACATCAAGGAGTCATGCCTTCCAGGTTCGTTTCTCTGCTTTGTACAGAATTTCATACAGTAATGTACATTACGTATTGAAAACTGAATATTTTTTTAACTCGCCAAGCAGTCGACCTTAGAGACTAGAGGTTTACCTTAGAGATAAGTGATAATGTGCAAGGTTGCTCCCAGCCGATTCAGGATGTAGATGCTGGTGCGGATATGGACACCAGATAGATTGTACATGATTCCATCTCTGAAAAAATTAACAAGGTTGCAACAATGTTATGGATTTGTTTTGTAAGTTTCAGGAATAAGAGTCATTCATAGACCACTTGACGGATATACCACAAATAACCATAAAAAATACAACCCTGCCAAGGAACATTTAGTCATCCGACAAAAGTGTCCACACCATAAATAAAGTATACTTTGTCTACCTCTAGGTGTACAAGTGACATCTGAAGCATGAGTCTATCCATGTAACTTTCATATGAAATACACAGCGCAAAATATCCAGGGCCCCATTGTCGACTCATGCAAAAAGGCTCAATTGCAAGTCAAAAAAAGTCGAAATCATCCATGATTACATTCAATGGTCTCTACAAAAAAACTGATCAGGGAGGCAGCAAGCAGTTTCTTCCCGAAAGTCTCATATAATCTGCCTACGCAGCCTCTTACACGAAGCCAACCATGATCGCTCAAGAATACTCAGTTTACCTTATACACTGTCTGACGGAGTCCAAACAAAAGTTCCAAATCCAAACAAAAGTTCTTGACAATGTGAAACCAATAAATTAGGAGTCAACAGACCAGTGATGCGTATTACTGTACTAAACTTATAACAACCTCTGGATACATTATGAAAATCTTACCCCCAAGATTGCTCAAACGGTCTGATATGAGGGAAGATAACACAGCAGAGAGCAAACGTATTAAAATACTCAATCCGACCTTACAAATTCCACACGCCATACTGACCAAAGAGTGACCACAGCGAAACATCCAGAACTGACCAACAAATGTGAACACCCTAGTTACTGGTTCAGGAAAAAAAATCGCGTAAATTATTCCTCAAGATTACGTACAGGCTTATTTCACTGCACACTACTATGCAAAAAACTATGTGCACTGTGTACAAACAATCGTGACGGATAGTTAATTTTGACTTTCGGCAAGAAGACATATCTCTTGCACGTAAAAAGTGTCTTTTATATATTTCAAGTACGAGACGAATAAGCAAACTTATGTTACCAGGATAAGGTTTAAGTAGCTCTGCAGATAGATATAAACTATCAAAATACCTGCCGAACAAGATGCTCAAAAGTTAGGCTGTAGTAGGAAACAATTTAAAATCGTGTCCACGTCAAACATACGTTACAGCAGTTTAAAAACGGGCCGACAAGTCTGTAATGAGAACGGAGATGATTAGGGAAAAAACGCAAATTGTATTTACTAGATGCAGAAGCAGAAAGGAAATATGGTCATATTATAGACAATTATTCATAGCTTGGACAGTTTGAAACCTACAAAGGCGGTACTGGTGGCTGAGTAGCGATGTAGGTAAAACTAAAGAATCAATAAACCTCTGCGTCTTCAAAGATTGATGGGTTCTAAGTTTGATCTACTATATGACATTGTCCAGGAATATCATTAGGTCAACTAGAAGCAGAAGTACGTTTACACATCCGGGATTCTGTCACCATGTCTATCGAGTACATCTACGGGGGATAATTATGGCAGCATCCAAGAGCTGGACGATGAAGAAAAAGATGACCGTTCCAAGCGTTCACTTCTACTGTTCTGTAACTGTAGAAGTTCTGTAACTTCTACAGTTCCAGGCGTGATCTCTCACAATATGTGTTCATATAACAATTTCGAATAAGATACAGTGATGGAAGTGCTTGCTCCCTGAAAGAAGCAGTTATCGAGGATGCTACAAAATTAGCTGCGATGCTCCCTAGGTAATAAAATGATGCCGGGAAATGTAGGATTGAAATAGACTTGGATTTAACAAACAGGGAAAGAACCATAAAGTACTCGCACTCTTTCAAATGAGGCGTGAGCAGAACTTGCAGGAAGTTCATGACCAATTTATATATAGTTGAGGAAAGAGCTCCAAATGTACAAATTATTTTAATGCTTCTTATTTTCTAACTGCCACCCTTCTAAGAAGTTTCTAGATTCTAGTAGAGCATAACGGGTCCTCGTTACAAGTATGTAGTTTAGAACATGGCCTGCTTGTCCTCAAAGTCGCTGGAGATTGCATGTCTGTCTTTTCAGCCTGTCTTCCTTGCAGACACTACAAGGGCTTTGACTTGTCATATCACAAATCTTTTCTATCCTTGATCTTCAGTTTTACAGAAGTTGTGTCTAGAGTTTTAGACAGCAGCGAGGTGTTATGTTGTAGAGAGTTTACAATGCTGACTATTAAAAAAATATTTTAATTTATCGCTGGTTGCGGAAAAGATACTGATATCCGTATGGGTAAATGTTACAAATGAACAGAATGTACTAACAACGGAAAATGGATTTATCTCACTGTGAGACTCAAAGTTAACACCAGATAAGAACTGGTGATATATTTCAAAAGGTCGTTTCTTGGCGAGTATAATCAAATCTTCCCCAGATTCTATCTTATTTACTAGTGGTTCAGATTCATGAGGCCTGCAAAAGTCCCACTCTTGCGATGCTCCAACTTTGTCACCCGATTTCAGATCGTCTCCTCAAGCATAAGAAGTGTTTGACTATAAATATTCAGTTTATTATCTTGTGACATAGTGTGATTCTTCACAGGTTTATTCACCACCGCCCGAAAGTCCTATCCCCAGATTCTTGAAAATAATTTTCTCTTAAAGTTCAGAGACTTTTCGTAAATCTCTGAAGACGCTATGTTTTTTGTCTTTGCAGGTGAAATGAAGTGTATTTTTGACTGAGGAAAAGACCACTCCTCGAACATCTCAACGATTCTGCCTCCTAGTTCAATCAAGTGATCTCCAGTAAAGCTGGAGATCACTGATTAAATTGACTTGATTGGTTTTGAGTGTTATGACACGCAAAATAAATAAGCTCAGTTTTCTCCAGCTCTACAGGTTGAAGACCATAGACATCTCCCTCGCTGAGCAGTACTAGTGTGAAGAGAATAAGTAGAAGGAGATGATTAGATATTGGAGGACTCCTTGAACGAGAATAGTCTCTCTCGGATCGACCTGAGAGTTCGAGTGTCCAGGCATCAAGCAAGAAATTCTTTACTACTCATCAATCTGAAAAATATAACAGCGATTGAGACTTCTTTAGGCTTTGGGTCCAAGCTAATAAATTCCTAAAATGCTTGGATTCTACCAGCAGAGCGATGTTAAGAGGCATCTTCACTCTCATGTTAAAGATAAACAGGAGTTTTGTCCACCTTGCCAAATAATGTGCAAGGTGCAAAACGTTTCCCCATCTTGCTGCCCTTGTTGCTCTTGTGATTGAGCAAGAAGACCTCCATTCGCAACATGAACTTAAGGCGAGTCCTCTGACAAACAACACAATAGAGATTGTGCTTGAGGACGACGGGTTTGAGGTCCAGAGTGATAAGGTAGAAGCTGAATTTTAATTGCTCCCTCCCTGTCCAGTTTCTGTGAGTTACCAGAAATTGCCTCTATCGCTAAAGGTTCGAAGGTTCTGCTTCCATCAGCATAAATCTCTTCCCAAGGAAAAATCTGGTGTCATCGCAATCTTCTGTACTTGACCCAACACAGACTTCGCAGCATCATTTTCAAGTGAATCTTCAAATCCAGGAGATTTGGGGAAAACGAAGATTTGGGGGAAAACCGGAGATTTGGGGAAACCAGAGATTTGGGGGAAAACCGGAGATTTGGGGGAAACCGGAGTTGTTGCAGATTTAACGTGGCAAAATTTGTAAGTACTGAAGCAAGCAAACAATCCTAAACTTACTTCAAGGTAGTAAAGGTGGAACACTTTAAATCAAATGCGTCTCAAGAGGAGAGATGGGGCTCCGAAATGTCGTCAAAACACGACCTGAAAATAATCTACACATAAGAAGACCTTAGGACCGGCAGTAAAGATGTGTGATCACAACCTGAAAAGTATCATTTCCGGGGCTGCAACACAGGTGAGTCCTGAGTTTATCATTATTTGCCCAAGTAACAAAGGCATGTTCATCCATTACTAGCAGCAAGGATAGCTAATGTGAATATAGATCATGGTAACCACTCAACGAATTGCCCACATTCTAGGTTTCGTGGCAAGATACAGGCACTTAAATCTTGTAACGACATTCGTGAGTGGACAATCAGCTTTTCATATTATTTGAGGTTCATACCATTTGCCAGTAATGCATCATCTTTCTGGCTCATCCAATTGATTGTTAGAATTAGATTACTAATCCAGAGCTTGTGGAGTGCTATTTACCCATCTTCTTACACATCTTCTTGCAGAAGATGGTAGATTGTACTCAGTAAAGTTAGCATGTAGTCACGTCCACATTCCGGACTTCTGTTGGAAATGACCAAATGGGAAGAAAAAGAAATAAGATATGATGAAGACGGGCAGAAAAAGGAGAAGAATTTGAAAGTACAGTGAAAATCTCTTTGAAAGTAAAAGAGAAAACCCCAGAATGAGATTTTCTCAAAGATACCAGTAGAGCCTTCGCTAGCTGACACTCATTTGAAGTTAAAGTTGGAACTATTCCCAGCTTGAGATTTTTTAGACCCACTAAACGTTATGGTTAATTCATAACAGTGTTCTCAAAAAGGTAACATCCTTCGTGATTGACATGCATGTTCTGCGTGCATGCATTCATGTCAGTCACCAAATCTTTCTAAGTACGAAGACTGACCAAAGTGGGATGTGACATTTTGAGAACACTGTTATGAATGAATGAGTGTATGAACTTCAAGTCACCATGACATTTGTAAATGCCGTCACTACATTCCCTTCTTCCTGTTCAGATTTGTCAATTTTTCATTGTGCATTTTTTAAATGTCTACATAATTATGAAGGAGATAGATTATATTACAAGTCATATCTTTTCACTAAAATAATACAGGCATTCAACTCGTTAGTATGGCATGCATACTAAGTTATAACTTTTCCCTCCTTCCAGTGTTCTTCCGTAAATGAAGGGCAAGAGCTTTTAAAGTTCGAGTACGGAATATTCAAAACGATTCAAAATCTGATGCCTATTCACATAGAAATAATCTTTTGTATCTTGTATCATCTATTCAGATCTGACTCATAGATTCCAGCCACTATCACGTTATGGGATCATTACATTTTGCATCTATAATCTTCTTGACGCTGTATATTGTTTGAAATACAATTTCATTGAAATACTGACAACTTTTTTTACTGAAATACAGACAACTTCACCTTCTTAAAAGATGATAAATGGAGTATTTGTCAGAATTTCAACTGCAAACAGCTGTAAATCTTTCAAAAGAAAAATGGACTTGGGAGGCGAAAACAAATAGATTAGACAGGCAGACAGTCCAAACTTTAGCACCAGTCAGTATATTCCCCAATCTTTAGCCTATATAAAACAATACTCAAAAATCCTGGAAGGCAGCAAGATTTATGTCCCGCTTAAGTGGGCAGAAATGACGGAAAGCGATCTGCGCATATAATTTGCGCGCAGATCTCTTGTAGACTTACTCTAAGCAGATTTTCACTGCACTCAGCTCTTAAGCAATATGCAAGATGGATGCATATGATGCATCTACACACCTCTGGTCATAAACACATGTAATTTCAATCGTAACAAATAGCACAACAAGACGGTATGTCAATCATATGATTTAGTATTTACAGATGACAGTTTCATACTCCATCATGGAGGTTCATCCGGGAAGTTCCATCTTCAATGTCTTTGATGAAAGCTAGAAGAGAAAAACCATCAAAACAAACCGGAAACCAAGAACACAGTATCAGCCGCATTGACGGTAAGGGTGATAGAAGAATTGACGGCGTACTCCTTCATACTCAGTTTCCTGACTTTGATCAGTCGAAATTGATGGGACCTGTGCTGCAGTGGACAAATCCGCTGCGGATACGGTATGGTAGACGTCTTCAAAGTCAATATATGGAGCATCCTCGATCACGAGGTCTCCACCCCAACCAGTACCGTTCGCGTAAAGCCAGTGTCCAGTCTCTACGTTTCTGCAATTGGGGCATTGCATAGCTCCCTTAGCATTAAAAGCGGAGCCGATGCAATCTGCCAGAAAATCCAACATGTTAAATTTTCTCCATGATTATAATGCTCGCTTATAAACTTGGCATGCGTTGACCAGAAACCATAAAATTGTAGAGCAAGTACGGTCAGCACTGGCATGATAACAGGAATTAGTTTGTGAGCATACCCAAATGAAACCTGTGGCCACATGTGAGTTTGGCAGTAGATCTACTACCGCTTTCCATCACGACATCCAAACAAATTGAACATGCCTCCGTCTGTACTTGCTGAGAGATTTCGTCTGTAGTCTGCTTCCCAGCACTAGGAAGCTTCATGGCAGCCATACCTGGCCGCCAACAATCCTTGGAACCAGATCAAGTTCTTCTTCAGACTATAAGACACGTCAGAAGGAAAGCTCCTTGAATGCTTCCTCCTCACGCAAAAGAATCTGGTCCCAGAAGCACCTTGAGCATCAGACACAAACAAAACAACGTGTCAAGAAAGGGCAATATGGGCAGAGTATTCTGGATATTAGCAGAAACAATGATCATGGAAAGGATATATCGCGAAGGGGCCTAGTGCAAAACAAGATGAATGCTGACGAATAATTCCCATTCTCTCAATCGTCCCGCCAATTGGCCAAAGATGCAATGTTCTTCATGTCAGCTTAAGTACCACTAATAATTCTGATGAAGCCCAATGAGAATACAAATTACCAGCCACAGCCTGAAGCATATTCTTCACCAGAGACAACACTGTGCGCAGCCCATGGATATCCTCATGTCAAGTCTAGCTCCAGGAAAACTTTCTACTATCCAACCGCAACAAATAGTAGATTTTGCCACATAAAGAACAAAGACCGTTCAGTGAATTACTTAGTTGCAGACGTATTTCCCAATTCAGTACTCCAAGACATGAATTACATTCACATAGAGTTTGTGGAGCATGCTGTAGCATCTGATTGTTTCTTGATATTGAATTGGTACTTTTCTATCACCTCGATTACGACGAAGCTACTCTGGCACACTCACAAAAAATTTCCCATTACTCTACTACAGCGCATAATTCTACCAGTCCCCCCAAGTGTTCAAAGTGATAGACTGTGTCCCAATTCACAGCCGGGAGCAAACCTCGAGAATTGCCTACAGTCAAAACTCAGTATCCAACATACTGCCCACCTGATTGCGACAACCTCAGAGACCAATTACGACGACACGGGCTCAAACAAGACGCTCCTCAGACCACATTCCAAGCAGAGAGCAGCCGGACTCTTGGTCGTGGCAGGGCCAAAGATCTTACCTGAAGTGAACAACTTCGCGCTGGATCGCTCCAGTCGCGCCCTCTGCCACTAAAAGCTCTCACATGGCGCACCAGCACGCTCCCTGCTCTGGCATTGCTACCGGTCCCCTCCGCGTCACACCGTCTCGCGAACGTTGAGCGTTGACAGTCCGACGCTCGTTACTGCATCCTCATGCGGTGAATTCTCGAGAGGAGCGTGTGTCCGCTTTCGGTGTCCTCGATGTACACGAACAACTCTGCATTGAATGACGCGGGTGGAATTGGGCATTTTCACCCCAGTTACCATGATAAACATCGAGTCTCCCTTTTCACCCTCACTCTCCCACAACTTTTCCTGCCAACGTGGCAGTCAACTCAGGACCTGACCTGACCGGCCCTGGATCACAGTTCACCTCTCCGGTGTACGTGGTAACCGGGTTACTCACTATCCCTGGCAAAGGCCACCGAACCTCCCCCTCCAGGTTCGGGAGAAATTTGTCCTATAACCGAAGGCGATACTTCACGTGGAAGTCATACACTGAGCCCGAAAACATTGAAATGAAATGCGGAATTTAAATTCGCTAAAAGCCGACCCGGCGGCGCGGCAGCGGGCCAAAATTAAAATGAAATTTCAATCGGGCGTGGGGACGGTGGGAGGGGCGGGGCCTGAAGACGGGGCGAAGTGCCATTACTTTTTATATAGTTTTAAAGTTAAACGCGGGCTTTTTTTAGAAGGCCAGGCTCGTGGGGACAGGGACACCCACCCTAACCCTAAGCTACTACATATCCACGCATCGACGCGAGGAAGACTCCTCTTCGCATTTCTGGACTGTAAATCTGTCGCTCCGTCGATCACCTCCCTCCACCCTAACCCTAAGCTACATATCGAAGTGCAGAGATCGGGAAGTTCTCTTTCACAGATTTGTGCACGGTGCGTGGCTGTCTTGCTGCTCTCGAACACCGCCGGCTTGTTGACGACACCGCTGCTGCCGCACCATGGAAACGCAGGTGAAGCTCGCGATCGTTATGAAGGTCATCGGCCGCACTGGATCAAGGGGACAAGTGACCCAGGTGCGCGTGAAGTTTTTGGACGACCAAAATCGTCTTATCATGAGGAACGTCAAGGGGCCCGTCCGTGAAGGTGACATTCTCACCCTGCTCGAGTCCGAGCGCGAGGCAAGGAGGCTGCGATAGATTGAATGGCCTGCACCTCGACTGTTAGGTGAACCATGGATGGCGCCTGATCTTTGAGGCCTTCCGCCTCGAACGTTGGGAAGTAGGGGCAAGGAATAGAGAATTGCCACCAGCTGGCCGGCGCCGACGGGAGCGATGGATGGAGGACGGGGCTCCGAGATTGCATCTAGCCGGTTAGCAGTCGGCATGCGGGTGAAGCACATGTGGCTCCCTTCTTGATACATAATTTGATTTTGACACTGTATGGACAAGATTTGAGCACCCGGTGTGTAGCTGAAATTTTGTTTACTGGAATTTGATCATCTTTAATTCAAGAGCGAAAAGGTTCTTGGTTCTCGTTTGATGTTCAGTTTTACATGGTTGTTATGTCTCAGTTTATCTCTTGTCAATAAAATCTTGTCGCACAATTCGTTTCGCCCGCCGAGATTGTCAATGTGAACCTGAAGTGTGCAATTCTATCCCTCTGGAGAGAACTGCATTGGAGTCTTCTTTCTGAGGATTTCTCTTCTAGGTTTAGAGGTTGTAGAGAGACCTGCTAGGTTCAGCAACCACGTATGCTACTCGGGCCTAATGACAGCCGATGTTGTCTTTTGCTGCCGAACTGGACAAATTGCATCGAGAAAGATGTCTCCTTTTCCATCTATCCTTAGATGACACCGGCTCCCATTTCTGATTGCTGAACGAACGACTCGTCCCGTGTCGATAACTCATGTCTGATTTAGAGAAATTCTCATCTAAGTAAGATTGAGCATGCGTCAATCACATCTGTTTTCTGATTAGTCAATCATACACTAAAGATCTGAAGCTGAAGTCATGATTTCGGTCCGTAGAGTCAGTGGCCATCCCTGGAGAAGACATGTCTACTTGATACCCCTGTATCGACTGTCTTCTGATTGTAAGAACGTTGTGTAAAAGATTGATCATACTCCTAAGTAGATTGATTTTTTAGAAAGCAACCACACGCGACGTTGAAATATATGCAATTGGAACCATGCATCAAATATAAGTGCAAATCCTCTCCGAAAACAGCGAAACTTAGTCTGGTGAACTCCCGCGAGAGAGAAGCATGTCACGGATTAACCTTACTTTCACGTCCTGACGGGAGGAAGTACTGGTGTCTAAAAGTGAAGATTCCTCTGTTCCTTGTAAATCTTACACATCAGCAGGGAATTTTCAAAGTCACTAAAGGAAGCAATCGACTGTTTTAAAATTAAGCAAACAGTTCCTGACCACGCAAACTACAACCAGAGTAAAAATAAATGTTACCGTCGTCACTAAGCACGTGCACGAAACTGTGGAGTGTATACTTTACAACTTCACTTTTCTTTTGATGCCAAATTGTACCAACGTGCCCACAACAGAGTTTGTACACACCGTCTAGTGCCTCATTGCTCTCAGTCGCCGACTTCGCGATCGTAAACATCATGGGTGAAATTTCAGATTGTCGGGAGCCCTCGTTGCCACCGGAATCACTGATCCTCGAAGGGAAGAGACTGGTTTTGAAACCACCGACCGCTGAAGATGAAGGTCCCATGTGCATGATTTACTCTGATAGAATCACGACGAAGCACTTGCCTCAACATCATCGTCCTGATGGATGGACTAAAGAGGAGATGACAGAGCGTAGACGTTACCAAGCCGAACAGTGTTCCCAGGTGGAAGTCTTAAGGCCTGTGTTTGCTCTCGTGTGTGCTCTACGAAGCCATCCTGTAAAATTGAAAGTGATTAGTAGCTGTGCTTGTGTTACATCTCTCTTCTACCCTAGCTATGTTAAAATGTCGATGAATGCGACCATAAACATATCGTATTCAAGGGTTAGTGTAGACTGGTATTGTTTTGCAGACTGAACTCGCCAATGATGGATGATTCATACCGACAGATCGAGAAACATTGACTTCAAATAATTTGATTCAGGGCAAGCGCATCGTGTTCACCATACATCTACCGGAAAATGCGTGCTCAGGAGGTGAAACATCGATCGTTGCTGGTACTGCCGGTCTGACACTGGATGAAGATTCAGGTGAATTTGGCATCATATTGCACCATCCATTCTGGAAAAGAGGTCTGTGTACAGAAGCTACATATTTGTGTCTGAATTATGCTTTTACCTCCCGTTCTATCAAGAGAGTGGACTGGGTAACTGCGAAGGACAATGCTCAGATGCGTGGATGGTGTGAAAGTTTGGGATTGGAAGCATACGACAAGGAAGCTCCGGAGATGGGTGAATCGGTTGCATATTCCTTGACAAGGTCCGAATGGTACAACAACGTTCGTCACATCTTAGAGCAGAGGTTGTCCTGAATTAATGCAGGCCTTAAACTAGCGGTTGAAATCCGCTGTAATAATTGATGATGTCACTGATTAGCGATGCTTTTCTACCCAGCTCTAATTGTATTCTGTCACCAACTGTATTCAACTGTATTCAACTGTTGTAATGACAATTTTCCAACTTTTCTCTTAATCATTCTAAGGACCAAGAGCGTTCATGGCAGGCCTAAGACCACATTGCGCCAATAGTGAGGTCTTTTGGAAGACGAAGTGCTTGATATTGAGTATTTAAAGGAAGAGATGTTCCAGAACTTTCGCATACGATATTTGTTTGTTTCCCTGGAGTAACACAATCCTTCTGTCCTTCAGAATGTTTGCTAAATCAAAGAATTCAACTCCGAGCAGCACCATATCTCAGAGCTGCTGATCGATAAACATCGGCGTGCGCTTCGATAGATGCTGCGAACAGAACACTACACAAACTTAGATGTCTCATCCTTGGAAGTTTGAATTTTCACATACCAGATTAACTGTAAAACAGACCACGGTCACAAGCTTGACATTCAGTCTAAGCCTGCATCAGCCTACAAACTGCTCATTCCGCTTTTTATAACAATCTAGGCTTTGTAAATCAGTCATCAGTGCACTAACCACATAAGTGTAACCTCTGAGCAGTACACGGGGTAAATAAGTGATTAAGCATTGGGATTGTTTATCACCCACCATCATTCGGACGAGAATAGCCTCCACCCATCGTTATTACCAAGGGCAAATTTCTGGTCTGGCAGGCACTGTAAATAATGTTGTTCCTCCTCAACAGCCCTTGTCTGCACAGCAAAGTAAGCTTGAGATTTTCCTGCACCCGAGACGTTTGAGTGCATTTGACTGCACGTAGTTATAACTAAGCTAATCTACCTAAATGCCTGCAAAAATCACACACCGGTTGCTTATCTCATACTCAAGACAGCCACTGGTGAAAATAATCACCTCGTTAGAGATAATCTGCCAAAACTGTCCTCTTTAAGAGCATCGACTCCAGCCTGCAATTGCAACTGCCAGTGATCAGATTGAGTCGATGTACAAAGTCCATTTGTACAGTTTGGCAGAAATAACGAAATGTCAGAATCATCAAAAGGCTGGATGTGAATAAAAAAAGCATGATTCTTAATTAATTTGTTACCCCGTTTGATCTATACTGAATCTCCCTGAAGACAAGTGTCATGGGTCAATTGAAATAACAGTCATTAACACAACTTCAGGATCCAGAAACCAGAGGAGCGAGATAATTAAGGCAGGATCTGGGTAAGTAATATCCAGTTGAAAAACCTTGAACAATCTAAACATTAATTGAGAATTATACTCGGTCATGAAAGTGGTTACCTGAAAAAAAATCAGAAATGGTTTGTGTCGGTCAAATAACATCGCCAGTTGTTCATTCAATATTGTGAGATATTCCTCATCACCAGTATCATCTGGTAAATCAACATCATAATTTGATTTCATCTTCGTGCGCCAAGGATAGTTTTTCTCGCCATGCATGCTGAAAGTAATAACTCTGTCATCATTTTCAAAAATTTTCGCTGTTCCATTTCCCTGTAAAGCATATGAACCATGGAATGAGTATGAACAGTCTACCTTCGAAAGAATTATGAAACTGCTGACCAAAACTGATTGCTTCTTTTGATGGAGAGATGAATAAGAAGCAAACCTGATGTACATCAAGATCAATGACAAGAATTGGAGATTGCAAATTACAAGACGCTGGATAATCGTTCAGAGCCACCAAGGCTGCGACGGCTATGTCATTATATACACCTGTTAAACATAATCCAAAACAGACAAACAGATGCACATCATTAAAGATCATGTGATTACAAACTATTCACTCTACATAGGACATGAAGGATGTGCACACGACCATCTCCATTAATCCTTGGGCAAGCAAGATGTTTTTAAGAGCTTGCCCATGCCCAGCACGAAACTTGCTCTACCTGCGAAACTAATCGACTGAGATCGTCAAAGTACTTGGAACGAGTAGAAAACTTACAAAATCCTTCACCATGACCAGCAAAGGCATGATGCGTGCCTCCGGCTATGTTAGCAGCAGCCCTTGCTACTCCCAACATCACAGCGTGCATTGCTGCTACTGTTCCTCTGCAAACACGATAGAGTTTTCGAGTTATGCCGGTTATAAGGTTACTCCATATTCTGATCTGTCCGCTGCAATGAAGAGTTGTCTGATAGAGATTTGATCAACTTGGGCTCGAACATTTCTCGGACTGTGTTCATAGAAGAAAGTCAACTTACCCACACGAGGCTTGTGACCGTCTCCACAGCTCTGGACTCCAGGGGAAACCTAATGCTCTTTGCTGTTTTGCATCCAGATTTCCTGTACTGAGGCTTTCCAGGTAACTGGTAATTGATCACAAATCAAAATTGCTGCGTCATTGGTTTGTACCCATAATCCGAACCATTTACATATCACTGAGTGAAGGTTGATATCATGAACAGTTTCGAAAGTTCAAAACATTCTTGCCAAACGGAAGCCAATTTAAATACTAAAATGAGGAAGAGATCTACACATGAACCTTTGTTCCAAGACCTGTCCTACCTTTCATCGTGTGCCAAGCTTAACTCCTCCCGAGAAGCAAAGGGGGCGGGATAGGTAGCCAGAATATCCCGCATGGCAGCATCTTCCTCGAGTAAGATTCTGGTGGCCCTATACCTATAAGCCAAACGCAAAAGTGAGTATTCTTAGAATGATTGACTGCCAATTTATCGATGAAACAATATGTGATTATATAAAAAAAATTAGAGGTAGGTCGAAGGCAATACTTGTCCATTGGGAATCTATGGCCCTCGGGCAGAGGCACGACATAATGATCTGAATAGAAGCCAACTAGTCCTACGATCTGCTTTGCGGCTAGAGCTGCTCCTTTCGTGGTAAGAAATGTTCCAGATTCGGGGCTTTTTGTTGGCTCCAGGGATCCCACAGAGAGACATCTGATGGGTTGTCTCGTAGTAGTACCTGATCAAATTGGAAAATCAACATCGGGGGTAAAAATAGGAGACAAAGCAAACTTCATATCAATGAAGATGGTCAAACTCGGTAACCCAACGAGTAGATCCAACAGCATACTATGCCTTTGAATTGATCGTACATTTTTCTTCAAACCTTCAGAAACTGTAGCCTTCTTGTCTTATGAAGAAACACTCAACCCCATCACAATCCACACTTTTGTCCTTACAAAATCTTGACGGCATTTCAGCTAATTTTGTTTAAATTTCAGAAAACCTGGTGACAGTCAATCTGTAAAGAGAGTTCACCCGCATTACTTTTCCCCACGGGGATTGCTTTCTTCTAAGCTAATGTCGTAACAATATAATATTCAAGTTTAACGTGAAGATCGTACAACCAAAACTGCACCTGAGCTGAGCTTTTCACAAATTCAGCTTGCTTCGTAAGCTCCGTTAGATTTGTCATTTCAACGAGGAAGTGAAAGTTAAATTCAAGAGCGGATGTACATGGATTCTGCTCGTGTGATGTAGGCCAGAATAACAAAACAATCAAAACAAATCAAATCAAACAATCAATTCAAAAGCCTTCCAGGGACCTGAGGCAATTATGGTCAAATTCTCAATCTTAACAGCCAGAACAGAGCTTATCAGATTCCATACCGTCGAAAGGGTTCCCTGACGTCGATAGCGTTTGAAATGGCCTCAGAATTTTAATGCCTCCGGTCCACCTGATATTGCGAACAGCAAGAATTTCTGCGCTCACATTCTCTCTGGTGCGGACGAGCTGAACACTTGATCGTACTTGCCCTGCAAATGGTCGAAGCTTCGTAGGAAGATGGACAGCTCGGAGTGAAACAATAGACGAGGATATTGCAGCAAGAGATCTCATGGCCATGTTGCAGGTAAGCTACACTACATCACGATGATAGACACGTGCATTAGTGGAGCGGAGCTGGGATCAGCAAGATGGACCATCGAACGCGTGCGAAGTACTGCTGTACGTGAGGGAGAGTTCCGCGGAAATCTGCACCCAGAATTAGCTCCAGCTCCAGCTCCAGTCACATTCGTGGAGATGAGTAATGACCACTCATAACATCCCGTGCTATTGCGGTTTGGAACCAATAAGTGGATGAAATTGCTACGTGTTAAGCTAGGATCCTCGATTGTCCATATTCAGAACGATTATAATAAGTTCGATACACATTCACACACTCTAAACTGAATTTTGGAACAACTAGCGCTTAATTTCAGTGATACTGTGCTTTAGTTCGAGCCGATGTAGAATCATCCGTACATCGTCTATGTCTACTAAAATAGGTCGCGCTTTAGTGGGATTTGGAATCAAAATGTTCATGGTTTCTGTTGGCCACAGTCGTTGTTTACCAATAAGCTCCAAGTAGTCATTGTCTTTTGACGGGTTGAAGTAAGCTGCAGTGTTTCATGGGTTTTCTACGGAGCCAGGCATATCGTGCGGAAAGAAAACTGTTTTCCGGCGGTGCTCTATGTGACATCGGCCTGGATTATGCAACCACGGAGTCCAAAAGCGGAGTAACTGCCTTCCTGAATTCGCTGCCACATCGTCCCAGAACATCCCTGCCTTAATGACGTAATGTGTCGCACGCTTACTGCCTCCTTGACTACGGTGTGTCTGTACCGAAGGAAGTCGAATCTTCCAATGACTCATCACTGCATGATCAAACAGTTTCTATGCAGGAATCCCGACGTAGGTCTATCAGAAAGGAAAACGTCATTTTATGACGCGTGAAGACCAAGAGTTCGTTCTCACGTTCCATTTTTTCTTGAACATTCGTCTGACATGATTGCTGAAATCATTTGTCTATTTTATAAATGCGAATAACACAAGAATATACATCACAGGACAACACATTTTCGCTTGTAGGCAGATTAAATGAAGACTATGACAGCAAGGTCCAAAATATATAACAATCGATCGTTCACTTTTACACGGCCATTTGGCCAGAAGAGTATCATTTGGTCAACTATCTTACAAGAGAATGCTTTTGTCTAGAAGCACTAAATCGTCACACCCCAAAAGCGCACAAGCTCATGATCCCCGTGTGACAACTTTCCGCTGGAAGTCGTGCTCACGAGAGGCGATTGGACTGATGGAGACGACTTGTCACCTATTCAAGAGTTGGGAAATCATCCCTTCTTTGGTGATACAAGTACTGGCACATCATCTGCAAAATCTGAGTCAAGGAAATTTACATACAAAATGCTCCAGTGAAATCTAGATTACTGGACATTACACTAGCTGGAGATGTAAATAACCGGAATGGCTGACTATTTGATGCATTTCATCCGAGACAAACATACGGCAGAAAATATAGCAAACCTCTTAAAGCAAATGTTAGGTAATCAACAGAATGTGCATGTCTAGTGAGCCTTAAAGTACTTTCCGAATCTTCACAACGAACAAACCAAGATCCAAATATCAATGAAAAGGATACGAAAAAGTCCATGAAGAGACAGAAGGCGATGTCAACCACCCAAGGGAGTACGAACTTTAGCCTTTGCCATTCAACGCCGCGGACTAACAAGCTTCCCAAGTATGTGGCATTCCCTAGAAACGCAAATATTACAGTAGACATCGACACTCCAATAACGAAGTCGCGTGACCAGTTCAAAATAATCTGAGGTAGACGTCCCGTCAAGTAAATGCAGGTCATCAGCCATCCCAATATTAAACCAAGAGATGACACAATATCATGGTCTTCCGCTGGAAACTCCCCCTGATTTCGCAATAAACAAGAAAAATATAATCGTTTAGTATCTTGCACGATATTCTAGAAGTCTCAATAAATACTTTTCAGCAGTCACAATAAAGGCCTTGCGTGCAAGGCCTCCTCAATCATTTGGGTATTTCAAAGTTTTCACGAAAACAGCTGCAAGCACAAACGAAACCAGTATGTGCAACTGATAGTCATCGTGATATGTAGACAGAGTTATGGTCATGTGTCACGTAAACTTCAGATTGGATCGTCAAGCTTTTCGTGACACACTAAGCAAGAACCTCGTAAAACTCACTAAGTTCTCTAAAATGGCATTATACATACCTGTAAAAGTCTCCTGCTACTCCCAGCATATGACCCACCGCCTCCACCACCAAGAGAAGAAAAGCCACCACTGAAGGTGAGAGTAACAACAGCCACCGAGGAAAACACAATCTGCACACAACAAAAGATTCGATTAGAGTTTCTTTGCACACCAGACGAATTACTGTCTTCAACGGTGTATTATCCAGTCCTCCTTTCTACAGAAGTTACGCGCAATTCTTTCCTCTTAGACACCCTTTTCTATCATGATTGTGACCAACTTGAAAACAACGTACCCCTTTGGCTAATGGAGAACTATCTGTGCCGTATGAATTTGACAAAGTCAAGCGGCCCCAGCTTCTGTAAGATCCCGGAGATCTGAAAGCGCACGTCAAAAAATCAGACTGTCAAAAATGCGTACTTACTTTTAGGCCCATAGGTAAGCGAGATAAGAGTTTCCTCATTTAAGACACATAGCTTCATCCATACACTTCATCTAGCGTTAAATGACAAACTCGACAAATTCACAATTTACAGTCGCACAAGTTCAATCATATCATCACCAACATTTTACTACACATGAACCTTAGTAACTTACCCCATGTTTCCACGTACAGGCACAGACGCTGTCACCGGCAAGGGTGGTTTTCCATATCCTCTTGTGTTCATAGGATGTGATTTCAGTTTGGCTGATTTTGATGGGAACAACCCATCCAGATCATTCGGCCACCGTGGAGACTTAGAGTCTGATCTTCCATGAGGAATCTAATGGTGCATAAAAATCAATAATTTTGTAAAATAAGTAAATGGAAAAATACGATCTTGACAACATAAAAAGGTAGAATTCTATCAGAGAAGAAAAAGTCATATTGGTGACAGTAAACTGCAGAGTGATAAAAGATTGATGGCATGGAAGTTACTCTTGGAACCCACCAAAGGTGTAGTGGTCGAATTCGAAGGAGGTTTGTAGGTCTTCCAAGCGAACAATAGTTGTTGCACCACGAGGAGAACTGTGGTAGCAGTATATAGCTGTGAGTCATAACAACCATTGAATGCAGGGCAGTGATCTCTGTGAGAAGAGAGATAAATAGATACCTTTCAGATCCAGGCTGTAATTCCAGATTTCAGAACTCTAAAAGTCCAGCAAGCTGAACTTCTTCAAGTAAAGCTGCGAGTATCTGAGCATGACTAAAACTCTAAGAAATGCATGACCTTCTAACACCTTTTGCTTCACTCACCACATGTACAGATAGCTCAAGCACAACAATACATTTCACTGGACACACAAAGTTTCGGAATCTAAAATTTGTCAACGACAATGCCCAACTAGTCGAAGGGGCATGAGTGCAGAGTTAAGTTCAGTTCATAAAATCATCCAAATTGACAAGAATGTTTGCTTGGAGGAAGTTTTAAATAAACGTACCACGGCCAGGTAAAATTGCGTTGGAAGCTATGGATTCCACCCATAAAAGACCGCGGCAAAGCACGACACAGAGAAAACATAGTGTCAGCGAATTCGCCGCGCATTCAACACATTCATGAAATGCGCTAACTAAGTACCAACCTATGGTCCACTAATGACATTCATCATGATGGACAATGCTGCAAACTGAGACTACAGATCTGATCGTACGTAAGACAGAGTAAACGTGCACAACGTTCCAGCCGGTTTGCTTACGCTAACAACAGAGATCCCAAACACACATAATGAATGAAGACACATTAAGCAGCATGCTCTAAACTAACCATGTCCACGACATGCAGGAGTTGGGAAAGCTTTGTGAGATTCTGTTACTTACTGTGCCAGGATTGAACCAGCAACCCAGAACATTGAATATATCTCTGCATACGCGTTCATAGTACAAAGGCGTCAGTCTCATTCTCAGGCGATGATTTCATATCCAGTTCCGAAATCCGAGCATGAAAAATCAGCTATAATAATCCACAGCAGTTGATGTTCGCAGTTTCCAGCCATCATAATTCCTGATTGACTACAATCTATGAAAGATCCAAGCGGCTACTTGTAACAAAATCCTACATACAACATGGACTCCCCGACAGCGCCAGAAGCATCAAGATGGGAGGTGAAATAGGACGATGATGATTTCTGCCATGTGTAGGTGAGTAAGAGTCCATGGATGTGTTTCTGTACTAGCCAGAGAAGAAATGAGAATGTACGGTAAAAGAAGACCTTCTCTTGACGCACAGTCCTCACAAAAGCTTACCCGATCATCCAAGTGAAAATGAACGCCATGGACACAGTCTCAGTGTTTGGAGACTGCCAATTGGTGAGTATTTGCGGAACCTCTGCCATAGCCCAACAGACTATGCTTGTGATGCCGAGAGAGAATGATATCAGGTCCTTGTGATTGCATACACAATCGAAAAAGTACGAGAGTGCCCATGCTGAGCACGTTTCCTCCACGGGACATTCAAACTTGAGACCCATAATTCCTACTGTCTAACTTCAGTCCGCAAAGAGTCGGGGTCGACGGCTATATCAAACTTGCAAAGATGGAACCTCTCCGCAATCACCGTCAGCTCACTTCACCATAGAAGAATATCCAACACCTGTTTCAAAATTTCCCGTCATCCCTAAGTTACACTCGCGCTTGACGGTCTTGGTCTTGGTCACATCGATTCCCCTTAGACGATTTCAAGGCTCAACATCTGCATTACAGAATCCCTGGCCGCGTGCTACAGTCATACGACCGGGCATAGATGTCGGAAGTAAGATCTCAATCAGCGCAGCTTCGAGAACATCTTAGAATTCAAGTGCATTCAGAAATCGGCAACAGAACGATTCTTCGCCTCGATCCTGGAAGAAATCTGTACCGCACAAGAGCTTAAGCAGATGGATTGTGCATCACAACTCCAGGATCGTCTGCTTCAAATTCGTAGCTCAAGCGTTGTCCACGCACGACTATTCATCACCAATTCATCAACGGCGAATTTCCCTACTTCTCCCGGTTCAGACTAGACTGGTGCTCTTCTCCTCTCCTCGACGACAAGTCCGGAGAGAACAGTCTCCGACCCACCGGGAAACGAGAACTACCTCCACATATGTTTCCAACGAATGTTTAAACCCACTCCGCACATGCATGGCACTGCGATTTGAGCTAGCTCTCCTCCTACAACACTGTCCCACCGACCAGAATCTAGCACCCAGCGCTGCAGGACTGGGAGTACGCAGGTCGAACAGCTGAGCGAGCAAGCGAGCGAGCTGAGCTTTTCAAACGGAACCCAAGATCTGCAAATCAGCAGCTTCTCGCTCCTTCAGTCACTCGTCACAGCCTCCATAAACAGTCGACAGTCGAGGAGGACCCCCAATCGCCCTACTCGCCCCTCCTCCACTGAGAAGAATATTCCTGCCCTCTTGTCACCCCGGTTCTGTCCCCTTCCTTACCCTCCCTCCTTCCTTCCTCCCTTCCTCCCTCCCTCCTGCCCTCCTGCCCTGCCCGGAGCTGCCCTTTTGCCAAACATTCCTTTGTCCCCCTTGGCTCGTCGTGGCAAGGTTGTCGCGGCCATCGTCTTTCCGCTGCCTCTGCTCTCTCTTGTCCGGCCCGCGCGTCCTCCGCCATCGCTTTAACTGGAGTCCGTTGCAGCACGCGACAGCTTTAGCGAGACCCGGCAGTCGCTCGGCCTTTCCGTTGGCCACCCAGCGGACAGAACCAACCTGTGGATCCTCGCACTTTCGCTCAGAAACTGCCAGTTGCCCGTCCTCGGTGCGCTCACCGGCTGCCACGGCTGCAGGCCACTGGTACGCCGGAGGCTGGAACTACTACTGCCCATCTCGGTGCCGAGAATCCCCTGCTCCATGTGGGACCGTGTGCGCACGGCGCATGCCCCAGGCGTGAAACTTCATTTCGGAAATAGATGCGAGACGGCAGCTTTTCACTGGCTCGCCACCCGCTCCACATTGGCGGCTCCCACTTCTCCGGTCGACGAGGTGCGTCGAAGTCCGTCTTTATTTTCCTCCTCCCCTTTTCGGACTCGCGCAGGTACTTCTTATCGTACGTACCTCACTGACGGCCCTACCGAATTGCCTACACCTCTGACGAGCGGCAAGCATGCCACCCACCATCCAACCCCGAACTAACGAACGAAGATCCCCACTGCCCTCGAGCCCTAAGTATATCATAAAATGATTGGGGTACTGTAATTACGATAATCCAATCAATTTCTGAAATACTTTGTGCGTTTTTCTGTAATTTATAAAATTCTAGGCAAATTTCTCAATTCGTCCCACATGGTGACTTCCCGTTTACAATCATCGTGGTGGACTTTTTTTTGGGTCTGTCTCTCTGTTATTAATTATATCCGCAATTGACAAGGTTGATGCGCTGATCAAATAAGCCAGACATATTGTAACGCAATCCCATGATTAAGTCAAAAAATCTAGTTTATTTGTCTCTTTTCGGATTAAACTTTAACATTTGCCCCCCCCCCCCCCTCCCCCACCCGATCCCAAACGTCGTGGCATTAAATACTTAGAACTTTGTGCACCCATGTTTCTCAGGTATGGTTATACAAATCTCACCTTTTCCTAAGGTGTTTTGTGAAGAGACTAGACACCCCGTTTAGGAAATCGCTCACCCGGCGTTGATGTGTGGCAAAGACAGTGAACTGATCGGATCACTGCTATTAAACTCCGCGCCAAATAGGATAACAGCAATCTTAATGTCCTTGAACCCAATGAATCAGACGCGAAGAGATAAACCCTGAAACACAAATGGATGGAGTAACACAGGTCACATAGGTCACATACGGACAGATGAATCTGTGATGTAAGTTGCCGTTTCAGCTTGACCGGAAGGATTGTTGTCCTTGTGCACAAACTATGGAACGACGGGTGAAGTAGCGTGCGGAGGGGAGGGCAGGGGAGGAGGACGTGAGTCCTGTGCCGTCCGTGCTGGTCGCACACGGCATAATTATGCGCGTCCTGTAAATAGGATTCACATTTGACTAACAATTCTAGTTTCTGAAGATTTCTCGTAAAATCACATTCCTTTCCTTCTTCGCACACCGTTTAAATGTCTATTAATATGTTTATTGATCCTTCTCACTAGCAGTTTATTCCATTTTTTTATTGTATTTTCTTTTCAAACGGTGAGTGCAATGTGAAATAAAACTTGGAGATACATGCTGGTTGAAAAATATTCTTTAAAACAACATTATCAATTATTAAAAAGAACCAAATTTCTCCGTCTTATTCTCCATGGATGAAAGATGATTGGTAATATGTAAGCCCACTAGCATCCTATTGGTAATTATGTAGTACTAAAGCTAAGATTTATTTTAGAAAAATTTTAAGTAAATTTTAACAAAATAACAGCATTATTTTAATAAAGGTTAAAGTACATGAAAATATACATAAAAAATGGAAAAAATAATTGAAACATTGCTTATTGAAAAACAAAGAAAACGAATATTGGCACATAATATGAAAGGATCTTAGAACTCTTATCAATGATAGGAACAAAACGGTAAATATAGGGTCCATCTCACAGCAAAATAATAATCACCATATATATATATATATATATATATATATATATAACCAAAGAAATCATAAGTGCATTTTTATTTCATTTAATATAGTGCATATGAATGATTTTTTCAGTGAATATTTATTCGTAACCATTTACAAACCACACTCTTGATGGCTAGATATGCTCACAACTAGCAAGTATACCCTCCAGGAACTGTTTCTCAAGTATCAGATAGTTATCCTTATATGACGGATGTCGCGTATAGCTAAAGAAGAGGTCCTACGCTCAAATTGACTTTAGTCTCCAAACTCGTGATGAACTTTGCCACGTCTCCTTCTGATTCTTTAGCCCCTTTTGAATGAAACAAATCGAGTGTATCTAGGCTTTATGAGTCTCCTCGTGGTCAATCCAGCCGATACCAAGTACCCTCCCGCACGGAAGCTTTTTCAACAACTTGGAAGTTTATGACCGATATGAGTTTGCATGAACTTTTTCATGTCGCCTCGCAATTTGAATTTTGTCTTCAGTTGTCTGAGTATTTCTGAAACATGTTTTCCTGGGATCCGCCATTTGTAACTTGCAGATAGCTTGATGCTTCTCAAACTACGACATCTTCTGATTGAAACTGCAGAAAACTGCAGGATTTCTACGACATCTTCTTGTGATTCGGCTTGAGTTAATGAAAAAAACAAAATACTCGCTTTCCAGGTAAATTAGTGAAATATCGTCAACACGATATCGATCACTTTGTATCACCTGTACATCATATGAGATGCATTGACAAAGAATATATTCCAAGGGCTGAAATTTTTCAAACCCCAAGAAGATCAATAGAGAACGATTAAGCAAAGAGGGGACGCTGAAGTACGGTATATAAACAATTATAACCACAAGCAGTAGTGGAGAAAAGTGAATATTGTCAAAACTGCAAACATTTTCAATTTTCACCTTCTCCTGCACGTTAGAGCAATTGTACTAATCAGAAAGACTCCCCAATGAAATGTGTTTCAAATATGTAAGTGTTCTCTTCAATCCTTAAGTTTAATTCATAACGGCAGCCCATGACATTCACATGTTGTTCATAAAAAGGCGCGACTTTATAATTTGCTCTTATGCTAACTATACTTCATCCCATTTGCATGTTGATGAAGAATTAGGACGAGAGAGTTAATAACAGGAGAGATCCATGGAGATCCATGTTCTGGACTTAAGAGCAGGACGACGACGAAATTTGATCCGTTAAAATAGGAAATTTGATATGTAAAGAGAGGTAGCCTTAGCTTTGGAGACTTGTGTTTACGTGAGTATTGAGGGATGTGGGTCCATGGCGTCTAGTGAAGCCCTCTAACACAATCATCGAATTTTGTTTCTTGTCTCTCCTTGATCTGTATCGATAAATGTATCGGACCAGCATGACTCTGACTCTTTTCTCAGAATGTACTACAGTATGCCCCTTATTATTTCTCACAACATTAGAACTATGTTTGCTCCTCCCACGATTTCACCCAAATGTACACTCACCGACACTACAACTTACTTTCACAGAAAACCGGTTATGAGTTCTTCGAGACAACGTTTCGAGACATTGTGTTGATGTCTAGACATGGACACATCCCCATTTTTTGGTAAAATTTTCAGTTGCAAAATACTGCGGAACTTTGATATATATAAAAAAAGGTAGGGATCAATCAGAGATGCGAGGTATAATATCCAGTGATATAACGTTAAGAACGTTCTCTAGTGCAATTCAAGCTCCTCTTTCTCAATCCGAATTTTGGCATTCAACGAATACATCCTCGTTGTGAACGGAAAACAATCTATTTCTATTTTTCCAATTGAAAGTTGACCTCTTACTAACATGGACAAGGGTGACCAGGGCAGATTTAAGAACACACAGATACAATCTTTTCTTTCTTTGTTCAATTTTTCCATGAAACTTCAGATATATTGCGTGGAGAATAAGAGAGAGAAGATAGAGCACACATGCTCCCGAATACACGTCTGTGTTCTTGTCCTTGTGAACGAAAGCCTATGATTGTGATACACATTTCTATCCAAATAAACAAGATGCGGTCATCTTGACGTTGTGGTCATGGACCTTCTTTAAGAGAACTTCTGAATTCTCTCTCTGTTTATGCATAAAGTACTCTCTTAAATATCTGCTTAACCTATTCTAGACTATACACATGTATTACTTGTGTAGTAGACAAAAAAATCATGCCCTTCGTACTTGATTTGAATGTACTTGATTTTATGTTCTTTTAAGTATATGTCTTGCCACTTTTCTAGTTTCAAATTCTAAATTGGATACAGGAATGTAGTTAGCTTTCTATAAGGCCAATTCCAGTCAAGGAAAATTTGTGGATTTGTGACGTTAGAAGTGAGTTTGCATTCAACATGCAAACTTCGTTGTACGAATATAGAGTGATAATATTCACAATTTACTCAACACATATTATACATTGTTCACCTTAAAAAAGTGACGTCCTACTATCGCTAATCCTCATATATAGCAGTTGCGATCTTAGTTTAACTAATTATAGTTAAATTGATTAAAGTGAACGAAGATCACAATTACTTACTATTGAACTTGTGACAAAACAATAATACTCTTGCTGGATTCAGTCATTAAATAGTAGATTCGTGGAGTACTGTTCAAATACTTATTTTCTCTCTAGTTTCGTTTCTCCTTGTTTTCCTAAATTTTCGGGGTAATTCATGAATTTCTGTATTTTTCACGTTGGATCTTGTATAGCCATTGTACCTTTGCTTGCATCAATATTTATTCAAGCTTCACTTATCATAGAAGTCAAGTTCAAAAGAGAAAAAATTGAGAAAAAAGAGCCTTT